ATAATAATAATAATAATAATGACAATAATAATAAGTCCGATAGCCTAACCACTTGGCTACCAAGAAAGAGTAAAAATAAAGATATTCTATCAGTGGGTAAATGCCAATTGGAATGGGGTTGAATAAAGTGTTTGCTGTTAACTTTGAGCTCTTGAAAGGCTGTACTGAAACGCTGTGTGTTCCCCATGGAGACTGAATAGGCACATTGTAGCACTGAGAGTTATTTCGAACTTGCTAAAAGATTTCGCTAAGGGTATCTGACATTTTTGACCGTTTTAAGTTGCTTAAGTCCATGAGGTAGGAAACCAAATGTTCTGTCTGCTCTATCAAAATCGTAAGATCATTTTGAGTCGTTATCAAAGTATTCAAAGAATAGCATACGGTAAAAAGCCTGACAAGTTATGAAACTCAAACATTTTTAACGTCGAACTTCCCAAAACTAGGTACTGAGCAGATTCTAGGGTAGCAATTTACCATATACCGTAATATTTTGACTTCTACAATAGTCAACTGCACAGGTCTAATGTACTTAAATTGATTCTAGTTGAATGAAGCCCTACTCAACAAAAACACTGGAAGAAGGGGGAACGAATTTATTTCGTTTTCCCGGTGAAAATAGTTCAGTTGAAAAGTATTGCGTCCATGATGCAGGCATTTAAAGACTCCACCCAAAGGAGAAATCACGAGTCAACTGTTGTAGCGACGGTGGTCTCATGGTTAGGTTGTTGGGCTCTCAACAGAAAGGGTGTGGGTTCGAATCCCGTTTGGGTGAGGAGGGCTATTTTTAAGTCCTTTTATGCACTTTACATAGATTTTACTCACTTGACCCACGTGGGAATGGGTACCAGACTATAGACAGCGAAAGATCTTGTCATGTTGTTTATGTCTGAGCGCTTAATTAATTGGCTGGGCTTGCTCTGTATACGGGTGTTCTGGGGCGTGATAGGATAATAATGGAGATTACAGAGCACATTGAGTTTGCTATCGAGCGGGGGCATGCTCTACACAAATTCGGTTATTTATTATTATTTATAGTTTCCATTGTTATTATTAT